GAGGAGAATTTGATCAAAATTAGATATATCTGCACAAAAATAATGGAATGTTCAGACATTTCTGATCCTTCTAACGCTTGCTATTGATATTTCAGATTTTCACATCCTTTTTTTCGAACTTTTGAAGCAAAGTTTATTTTGAACAATATTTTTAAAAGAAATTCATGATCGAATTCAATGCTCGATCTTTCACAAATGAATAAAATATATGGAAAAGATATTCGGTGCTTGAATGATGATTCTAAGTAAAATGGGATTCACAGGAACAATATTACCTAGTGTTTTCTAACTATTCGTCTCTTTATCATCCACCACTGCTTATAATTTTCGTAAATCAAATCTTTATTTACCTATTTTGTGACATATTTCTATTCTTGAAAAGAGTCATACAAAATAGAAAGTTTGTGCGCTTATTCTGTTTTAGATTAGTAAAATGACTAATTTCCTAAGCGGTTAGCTTTTTTACCATAGTAAACCGTATAATGCATTGTACCTTTGTTTGTTGTTCATTCGAAAGTGCGTTTCGCTTTTGTTTGAGCTGTATCCACGGTATTTCATTTTCTGGTACGCCCAGTTGCTAAAGTTTTATTTAATATAACAAAATTAAAAGCCGTGCACTGAAACGCATAAGCGGAATCTTGAGCTTTTGTTAATAGGGTTCTACAAGAAGAAGGAATTTAAAAAATGTAGCTGTTATTTGGACGTCTTGATGGATACCGTTCATATATGAGAGTAATAGAATATTGAAATAAAATTGAAGTATCTATCTACTAAACTCAATGTATAATAACAAACATGGATAACATATCAGAAACAACAAATAACCGACGAAAATCTCAAAATTTACACTATGATAAGCTATGAAAGAATCAAATTTAAGATAAGATTTTGTTGATAGTTATATTAACTATTTTCGATATAAACAATAGATATTGTATGGAAAATCTTTCTTTAACTAATGTTTCTAGGAAAAAGTTAGCAGAGCTAAAAATTAGGTTTTTGCTCTGCCCTGTGATGGTCTCTGTCATGTATCGCTCAACAATCTATTTTTGTACTGGTAGTAATAAATTAATCATAGGCATATTGTTAGAAAAAAATAAAATTAGCAGTTATTTTTTATTTCTCTAGGAAAAACAATATGATATTGAACAGATAATTATGTGTGAAGCAGAAAATATACATGGCACAGATCAAGATAGTTTACAATTAAAAAAAAACACGTAAGACTTCTCGAGTTTTTGTTTCTTTATTTGTAACAGAACTAACAACAAAAAGTCTGAAATATATAATGCAGAAATCGTTAGTAATTTCTCCGAGTAAATTGATGTCAACAACAACATCTATTAAAAATCTATCGTCATATTGTTATCAAAATTCTCAATTGATACTTAATATTATAACATTCATTTATTTTATAGATCATATTACATTCTATTATTGCTATGAACAATCTTATAAAAATAAACAGTATTTTATGTTTCACTACTACATACGGAGCATAAAGACTGAATAAATGATTCATTTTTGTAAAATAGAAATTAAAAATTGAAGACAACACTATTAACTGCTTAAAAAGGCACGAAGAATATTTATACATAATGGTATATAAATAGTTCATCAACTTTCGGATTCATAAATTGGAAAATATTCTTTATTACAGAGGGATAGCGATCCACAGGTTCAGTTTATTGGTCCCCGACATCAATGACTCAGTGTTCACTTGAATTGGTAGAACGCACTACTGCAAGCATGGAATATTTTGATAGAATTAGTATTTCAATGTTGCAGCGAACGTGATTGTCAGTGTAGTCAGTGTTTCAATCGATCCTGTATTGGTAACTCACTATTCAGTGTTTACAAGAGAATGTTGCACATTCCTTTAGTGAAAGCTATATGGTTATTTTACAAGACAGAGCATTCTAGCGACATCTACTATTGAAAGTTGATTTCTATTTTTCTTTTTTAAAGAACTTACATAAGTGGAATTATTGAAAATTTTAATTGAAAATCAATAATGAATAAGTAGACAAGACAGAAAGGAATAAATCGCATAGGTATAATTTTTTTTTAATTACAAATTGAGCTCTTTGTTCGATCAACCAATCATACTCTATATGTATATACCAAATTGATTGTTTATAATTCAATCAATCAATCAATCAAAGATCTTTTTACAATTAAATTTAATCTTATATTTAAAATAATGTCTCCAATATCAATTCGTCAACCTGGTGATGTTGTCAATGAAGTTTATTCACAAAATATTAAATCTATTATTCAAATGTGTCTTGATGCTGGTGATGATCCAAGTTTACTTATTGATGAAGTGAAATATGAACTTCAAGTAAAAAAAAAGAAAATTTTTATAAAAGTAAGAAAATATTTCTTTCTTATTTAGAAAATGGTTGCTGAAATGATGGCTGAAGATGATGCATTACTTGAACGTAAACGTTCAGAACTTGGACCAATTCGTACTCGTTATGAAACACTTTATCATGAATTATATCCTGATAAAAATTGTCCACAATATGGTAATACTTTACCTGTTCTTCTAGCATTACGTACATATGTTGATGAACATAAAAAATTAAAAGATGAACATGAAAAATTACTTGAACGTGAAATAGATATTCGACGTGAAGAAAAACAATTATGTAACGAATTAAATGAACATTCATTACAAATAGATAATCAAAATTTTATGTCAAAACAATTAATTACACAAATGAGTCTCTTATCAGAACATATTACCGAATTACGTGAAGAAAAAGTAATTTTTTTTTTAAAATTCTATTCAATATTTTATTTACAAAAATCAAAAATGTGATTTTTTTTTTTTTGTTTTTCAAAGGCAAAACGTATTGCTCATTTAACAGAAATAATTCGAACATTACATGAATTTGAAGAAGTTTATGGATGGAAACGACCAATAATTGAAACAATGATTAGTCGATTATTAACACTTGGCCTCACTAAAATTGATCAATTTACTTTAACAAAAGAAGCTTTAGAACTTGTTGATAAAGAATTTACTCAAGTAATATTGTTTAGTTTTTTAATAGGAAATAAAAATAAAATATTGTGCTATTTTTATTTTATTTTTTTTATAAAATAGATCACTGAACAAGTACAAAAAGCAGAAGCTCGTTTTGAACAATCACATAAACAATTAACAACACTTATGCGAAAACATCAATCATTAATTCCAAATGAAAAAGCTTTAGTAGTAACTACAACTAAACAATGTCGATTATCAAAATTACCTGACGTATGTTTCTTGACTTTTATTTTCTATTCAATAATAACAAAAATTTCTGTTTTTAGCTTATTGCAGAAGTTGATCGATATACAGAACATGCGATGGAAAAATTAACAAATGATATATTAAAAGCACGTGAACGTATTCATGTTATACTCAATAAACTTTCATTTAATGATATTACTAATGATTCAAAATATGCTATTTTATATACTAGTAAATATATATATATAGTTTGATTTTGGTTCTTTTTAGAAAATAAAATGTCTTCTTTTTGTAGATGATTTTACGGAAGATATTTATTTTATGCATGAAGAACTTTTACAAGAACTTGAAAGTCAATATGAAGTTAATAAATCAATGTATGAACAAATTGAAATATGGAATGAACTTTTTCTTGAATTTCAAGAATTTGAAGTATATATCCTTCGATATTCATATCATTTAATTATTGTTTTTAATGTCTTCATTAGAAAAGTGCCAGTGATCCACAACGTTTTCATCGTCGTGGTTATAGTGCATTAGCAGAAGAAAAAAATCGGAAAAAATTAGAAGCAAATTTACGTGAATGTGAATTACGTCTTCAAAATCTTGCTAATGATTTTATGAAGAATAATAATGGTCAACCATTTATAATGAGTGCAAATGGAAAAGAAATTATCGATTATATTCAACAACGAAAAGATGATTATACTAAAGCTAAAGAACGTGAACGAGAAGCAATTAAGGTAAGATAAGAAAAAAAAAATAATCAACAAGAAACCAACATCTTATTTGAATTAGACTCCAGCTTCAAAGAAAAAAGCTCGTACAGATACAATCATACGTGTTCGTCCAGCTCCTCTACAATCTGTACCTGGCTATGATGAAAACAATAACAACAGTGAAGATAGTCAATGTGCTACTACACTTTGTGTACCAAATTTAAAAAAGAAAAAATTTCTTTTCTAAATATTTGTATTTTTTTTTTTCTATGTTATTTATTTATCTATTTATAAATTAAAATTCTTTCTCTATTTAAAAGAAAAATACATTTACATAATAATAATTAAGCATGTTAAACTAAATTTTGTTTCTATGGCATGTAAAAGGGAGTCTCCAACTTATTTATCATAGAATGATTTTGCATGATTATTATTAATTCTAGGCAGCAGCACATAAAACATCAACAAGTTCAATTGTTAGACGAACACCCTTAAAAACAAAACTACTACCTGATAATACATCTAGTGCTACATCAAAACGCGTAAGATATTTATTAAATATTTTATTTTTTTCTAAAATAAAATATTACCTTTTTTTCAGTCTAATTCAAATTCAACAATACGTACACCATTAAAAACTGTTCATCGTTTTGCTATTCCACAATTACCAACTGGTAAAACGCCATTACATAATTCAACAATGAAATTACGAACACAAAAATTATTACAAACAACTAAACGTACAAATATGGATAATGATCAAACATCATCAACAATTATAACACCAGTTAAACAACGTTGTCTTATTAATCAAATTGTTGATACAACTCAAAATATTTCATCACATAATTTAATAAAAGCAAATATATCTACAGGTTTTAAAACTTCGACAATGGTAATATTCTTTATTCTTTAATTATGAACTATTATTATTAGTTTTTTGTTTTTCGTTTTAGACAACACCAGGCAAACGTCCAGTAATGAAACGAGGTATTCCAACTCCAATTCGTACTCATAAATAAAAATAAAACTTATGTAAATAAAAATAATAATTATTGTTATATGTTTGTTTTGTTTTCTTTTTTGTCTTTTTTTATTTAATGTACAAATAACAAAAATAGAAAAGAGAAAAATAAATACATTGATGACTATATATATATATATATCTGACTAAACAAGAATAGATTTTGATAAATTTTTCTCTTCATTATCATTTAATATTGGTATTTCAATATAATTTGGATTGCTAAATGCTGGTAGAGATTTTTCTGTTTGTTTAATAATTGTTGTTGTTTTACATTGTCGTCTCCGTAGTTTAACTCGTTCAACACGTTCATTTTCACGTGCAATAAATTGATCTATTTCATCTGTTGGTTCAATTGATGAAAGTACAGTTACAACTGGTAATGTTGTACTAACTAATTGAGCTCGTTCAGGTTTTATTGATTTCTAGAAAATATTAAAATAAAATAAAAATAAAAATTTTTTTTTTTCATATAAAATTTTGATACCATTGAAAATCGACTTGTCTTTGGTGGAATAATAACAGGTTCATCTTGTAATGTAACACATCGTTTTCTTGGTTTAGCATATAATGGATTAAGATTTTCTTCATTTTGTTCTTCATCAATCATGTCATTAATTCGTTGATTAACATAATTATGATGATTATTTGATGGAGGAGTTGTTAAACAATTAGCTAAAAGTAAAAGAGGTATATGATTTGTATTTGTACATGAATAAGAACAAGTTGGTTCAATATTAATCATTAATGGACGAGTAAATGATACATTTGATTCATCGATTATATCATAAATTGGATTTGAATAAGCATTGATATTTGAGCACATATTAAAATGTAAAACAATTTAATCATTAATCTCAAAGAAGAAAAAAAAATAAGAAATTTTTATAATTCACTAATTTCGTTTGTTTTTATTTTTATTTAAAATAACAATTTCATAACGAAATTTTTTTTTTTGTTGAACAAAAAGATATATCAAATATATGTATATACAATTTGTTTTGAAGAAATACACGTAATAGAGAGAGAAAAAAAAAAACCAAAGAAACGAAAAATTTGTTTAAGTCAAATATAGAAAGAGAAAAATGATATATATCTGAAATTTACTATTAGTACATGAAGAAACACATATGTATCAATAATAATTTCATATAACAACTGTTTTTTTTTTACTAAATACCAAGTTTCCAATATATTTGTATGAAATAAATCAATGTTCTACTTGTGAATATTGATTTCATAGTTCTGTGTGTGGTTTCTAGAATGATGAGAATTTAATAAATTTAAATTATATGTATTTATATAAATACGAAAAAAAACAAAACAAACATAATATTTCATTTCTATAGAGAAGCTTTAAAAGTTCGAATAGTTATCGAAAGTAAATCGGCAATCTCGTCTTAACGATATTTTCATATCTGAAAAATATTTTTTCAAAGAATTAGTTTATACTCCTACCTAAGGCGTAACTTATTGCTGAGCACACAGTGATTGACTTTCACGGCAGCCAGAGTTTCGGCGATAGGACATTTGCCAATGGGCGAAATCCCACGGAGTGTGTTGGCGAAAGTAAGATAGACTTTCGCAAGCTGTTACGAAACAATATTAATATAGGGTACTTGTGAGGGCTAAAGCTAATCTTGTTAGAATATATATATATATATATCATAGTGTACATTCATCAATGTAGCTGATAGGAATTTTTGTAATCCATATCTAATTCATAGTCAATTTGGCGAAATTCCAGGAGATATATTGACAAAAATCGTATTATCAAAATTCCGAAACCTTGAATTTCAGCTAAAGGGGCATTGTGTATTGTATGGACGAGTTTCAGAAGTAGAGGAGTGTCATGTACTCCCCTGCTGAATACAATACCGGACAAATGATTTTGGATGATCTTTTAAATGAAGTAAGTTTTTTTTCATAATTGTTCAAAAGAACTGAAATCATATAAATAAAAAGAGCAAAACACGAGCTACATTTTGATAACAAAAATTTTCTAAAAGTAAAATGTCAATGAAGTGAAGTGGTTATCTTATGATAGACTTCATGTATACTCTTTATCATTTTTATATAATGAGTAATTTTTCTTGTCAAATATCATATTCGAAAGGGCGTATGTCGCTGTAAATTTTTCATAAAATGACTTCTCAAAATTGAAAAAGCATTCTTTTTCGGGAAACTTTAAATCATCTGCTATCTTATGCAGCGGCAGACGCTCTTTCGCATATGATATTTGGAAAGAAAAATTGCTCATTATATAAAAATGATAAAGAGTACACATGAAGTCTGTCATAAGATAACCACTTCACTTTATTGATATTTTTCCTTTTATAAAGTTTTAGTTATTAAAATATAACTCGTGTTTTGCTCTTTATATATATATTTAAATGGTTTTAATTCTTTTGAATAATTATGCAAAAAACAAACAACTCAATTTAAAAGACCATCCAAAAAATGTTGTCCAGTATTGTAGGTTACGCCTGAGAATCCAACATCTATTATTCATTTTTATAGATTAATCCTTCCATTTTGACCTATATACGCAATTGATTTTATTTAGTTCATTTTTGACATAAACAACAAGCTTGACTGACATTTACGCGCATGACAACTTATGCGTAAAATTAATTCTTCTGTTCTTGTCTTGTTCAAGGATTAGTTCTTTTTTTGAACATTGTGCATAATAATGATTCGTATGATCTTGATCAGGTTTTTATTTTATTCATACTAATGAATTTCATTTATCCGATGGAATAGAGTTTATGAGATAAACGAATTAGAAAACAATTTGTTTTTTTTATATGAAAGATTTATCTGTAAAATCGGTCAAATCATATCTAGGTTTCGTAAATATAGAAACTCTACTAATATATAGCGTGAGCTCTAAGAGCCTACTAGGTCTTACTTCCTCTCGTTTTATGTTTCCGCTCTGATCTTCACTCCAGAATTGCGTCCTATGTGTGCACTTCCGCTCTCACTCCTCATGTTGAAAAATCTAATTTTATGTATAAATGTCGACGCAGTTATATGATGCGTGAAAATATCTCTACGCAAAAATATCTTTACGCATAAGTGTTGTGGGCGGAAATGTCATGTCACGAAACGAAATCTATATGACTCATCTTATCGAGAAAACAAAATAACTGTAAATTTTTATACTTCATGAAAATTTTTCTGTTTTAAAATAAATCTTTTAATATTTACATTTTATCTAACGTTATAGATTCATTTGTTGTCTTGATTGGTAAACTCTAAATAACAAAACAAAAAAAAAAAAAAGAACAAGTTAAATAAATTGTTTTTCTTTTTTACTTCATAAGATTTATCCCAAAAACTAATATCATCACTTGCTTCAGCTAATCGTGCACGATCTAATAAATTATAAACATTTGCTTGTGTACAATGAGATATTTGAAAAATTTTTCTAACACAATCAATTGAATATAAACTAATTTGACTTGATATTAATGTCGAAGATATTAATTTAATTAATTGTGAACAAAGTAATGGATGTGATAAAGGATCAATAATAATTGATTTAAAACCTAATTTATTTGCCTTAAAAAAAGAAAAGTCTCAAAAAAAAAAAAGATTTTAATAAAAATAAAAATTCGAATTTACAAAATTTTTAATTTTTTCTTCATTAAATCGATGAAGTATATTCGAAATAGTAAACCATGGTAACATTATATAAGAATTATATCTTACAAAAATTAATTTATCATATTCATTAATCATCACAACTTTTATTAATGATGTAGATTTTGTTCGATATAATTCACTAGATACTGATGATCGATGATCATCATCTTGTTTTTTAACACAAGTTTCTGTTTCATGCATAGCTCTTCAATAAAAATAAAAATAATCTTTTAAAAAAAAGAACTTTTCATAAGTGAAAAAAAAAACAACAACATACTCTCCAGCTTTCCAATAAAGTGCAATCATTAAATGCATTGGTTGACCATTATCATCCAACATATAAATCTTTTTCCGAACAAAAAAGAAAAAAAAACAAAAAATAATTTCATAATTTTCAAATTTATTTATTTTTACCAAATTTTTTTCATTTGAAATATCATCAATTGGTTTAGCCATTTTACAATGTATTAAAAAATCATTAATACATACATAAGCTTCATCATGTGATGCAAATAAATTAACATAAAATGTATTATCACGTCCTTTATATAATGGTTCAACATCACATTGACAATTTTGAACAACATTTTGAAATGTTTTTGATACAACATCATTCCATTGATTATCATTATTATTTAATGATGCTATTGAGGCTAAACGACATGTTAATAAATAAACTGGTCGTGAAGAATATTTTGTTAATATAAAACGTATACGTGAACGTGGTACATGTTCTTCCCAAGTATTTAAATCAACAAAAAAAACATTTACAGTATCATCCATTAAATCATATTCCATTATTTGTGAACGATTCCATGCTGATACTGTTTCATCCCAAGTAACACAAAGAAGATTTTTACGTAAATATTCAGATGATATATGAAGATCATCAATTGAATTATAATAATCACTAAATAGTATTAAATTAAATTAAATTAGAGAAGAAGAAGACAAAAAAATATATAATCAATGAACAAAATTTTACTTCATAGTTTTAAAAAATGCATCACATTCAATTAAATCTTTTGTTAATTGAATTGTAAATGCATATGGTGAAGTTATTGAAACAATACAACATTGTTGAATAACATTCAATTCTAATGATGATGTTTCATATTTATATCCATTAGAAACAATATCCACCATTAAGATTTCACTTGTTAATGAATACTTTTCTTTATCAGATGGTTTTTTCTAAATAGAAATTATCTGTACTATGAAACAAAAAAAAACAGGTCATTCATTTGAGAGATACACACGAATGGATTTAAATCTAAGGAATTCTCTAATTCCATCTTCAGATTTTAGCTTGGAATTAATCTTGAAAAGATTCGAATCAAATTTTTATTAAGTGCATTCATCTATGATAAAACATATACTATTCCCTAATTCGTATTGATTTGCTGATATTATACGAAAGATTTAACTCTTTGAAATATCACTTAGAATTCACTGAATTTCTATAAGAAGAAAAAAAAAATTCAATTTATTTTGATAAAATTTAAATTAAAACAAATTGATCGATAATTTTAAATTATTTATATCCTTTTAATAACCATTTTTTTTAAAAGTATCTTTTAATAAAGATTATAGAATTTTTAGAAATTAATTTCTCATGTTTCTGAATTTCTTTAAACTACATAATAAATTATGATGACATCTAAAGAATACTACTTAATAAAATATTTTTAACGATTATTGAGAATATTTGTTTTCAAATATCAATTAAACAAACTTACAAATGCTGAATTTGATCTTTGTGATGAAATATTTAAATTATCAATTCTATTTTGACAAAAAAGAATTTGTTCTGTAACATGATCATCAATATTTTGTAATTGTTTTTTCATTGTTATTGTTGAATTATTTGGAAACATATAACGATTATATGATTCAGCTTGTTGAACAAAACGTCGTAATACTTGACTTCCATTACTATTAGTTCGATACATTTAAATACAAAAATAAATATATAAGAATTCTGTAAATAAAACAAATATCATAATCATTTTATTGTAGTTCAACAAAAAAAAAAAAAGAAACAAATGAATTTCTCATAGTAAAAAAAATGGAAATAATGGTTTTATTTATTGTTTGTTTTTTTATCATAACGCAACATAATGTAAATTAGAAAAACAGCATATAAAAAAAAAAGAGTCAACAAGATCGGTATTCTGTTATATAAATATGTTCAAAAAAATTCATTTGTTGTTATTTGATTATTCTTCTTAGTTTCATTGACCAATACATGTTCAGGAAGTTTTTCTTCTTCAGAAGGTGTGGCAAGTATAGGTGGCCAATCAGGTGTTAGTCGAAGAATATTTTCAATATGTAAATGATGTGTTCCTGAGCGAGATGTTATATTTCGTGATGTTGATGATAATGGTGATCGTTTACAACTAACATGATCGTTTTCAATAATATATTCCTTTTCACAAAAAAAAAATAATTTAATAAAATAGATTTAAAGAGATTTTTTTTTTAAAATAGAAATCAATAATAGACTTACTTCAAACATGTGCATGATTATAAAATTTAATATTGCAAGACCAAAAATAATTAATTTAAATTTTATATCTGGGATAATACGAAGCTATTAAATAACAAATGAAAATAAATATAAAAGTATCTATCGATTAAAAATAAACAAGATAAAATTAATATGTGTATTATTTATTTAAATATATTTTCTAACTTATTTTAATTAATTAGTTTAAAAACGTCATCGAAAATTATCTTGAAAATGCTGACATCTGTTAAAATATTCATAACCTTTTGTCATAAATCATATAAAAATTCATATGTCGTTTTGCATTCATGAATAGGAAAAGAAAATGATCCTCAGACATGATATTTTGCCTTTTTGATTAAAAAAAGAAAAACTAATGCAACTCCTCCCTGCAATAGAAGACATCTCTGGAAGAAACGATTCACTGAATCTAATACATGTCTTCATTTAATTAAATAATTTTGCACAAAATTAGAACTTTAGTTAGCATATTTACATCAAAATAGGTCTTGTTTTCATGATTTTGAGCTGAAAAATTTTAAAACACTAAGGTCAACATTGTGTCTAGACTTTTAAAACGCTAAAAAAGTATTTTGGCACATCATCAAAATCATTTTAATTTGTTCTAGAAAAACTCTTAATTAAAAATTATGAAAATAAATGAGACACAATAGAAGATGTCGTTAAAAAATTTGTACTCTTGAACATACTAGAAGACTCAGAATCTTCTCTATTCCAGAGAAAAGTTTTGTTCTTTCTCCACATTCTTCTACTCGCACTCGAACATTATTATTAATGAAAAATTCCTCAGAATACAAGAGAAATTTGGTTTTGTATACATCGTTTGTTGTTTCTATTATCAAGCATTTGGAATCAATGTAACGACAAGTGAATCAATGTATATCTTATCCGCTTCTGTCGCCAGGTAAGAGCAGGATTGTCGATATTTTTTTAAAGATCAGAAAGGAACTAAAAGTTCGGCAGAAAGTGCTTTCATCGTCTGAGTGTTAGAAATGGTGACCAGAGGAGGAAGGGAAGAACGAAATCCAACGTGATTCAGTCCCTTCTTCAGATTTTATTTCACATTCATTGCCGAAGAAAGGCAAATAGTGTTTCAAAATCCAACTTTTGCCCGAAGTTATCACGAAACTGTAAAAAAATTGGCAGAAACTCGAATATTTTGTGAAACGATAGTCCTTTCTCCTTCTCCTATTCGAGAACTCTGAGTTTGAATGAAACAAATTCTACTTCGACATTAATAACTTAAAAAAATAAGACAAACCTCAAAAAATGTGTAAACCGATTTGATTGGTATGAAAAGTAGAAAACAACTAAATCCGAATGTAAGTACAATAGATATGAGAAAAAGCCCTTAAATAAAAAATAAAATCATAAAATTATTTTTATTTATGACGAATATACAATTAGAAAATATCGATCGTCGATAAGGTGCACCGCGTGAAAATACAATCGATTCCCAAATATATTGAAATGTTGATTGAAGAAATACAGCCGTATTGATATGTGATATGTAAATTTTTTCTTCATTAAATTCAAATGGTTCGTACCTAAAGAAATATTTTTGTTTCTTTGAAAACATCAAGATATATTTTCATTTATTTACCATGGTTGTTTTTTAACATATTCAAAAATAAATGCTTGAAAAGCAGCACAAATGCTTAAATGACCAATAAGTGATACAAGTGGTCGCCTTATATATTCGAAGAAGGAAAAAAATTACAGTTAAACTTTACATAGAAAAAAAAAAGAAGAATTTTTACCAGGAAATTAATTTTGTTCGAGGTGCCTTTGGATCCAAATAAGGGTAGGCAGTTGTTCGACTAACTAAGCAAAGTGAAGAAAAGAAAAAACAAATTTTTGATTTTGATTTTTATTCTATTATTACTTACAGAGTAATACTAATAATGTAATAAGACCCAAGTCAATAAACAGAAATTCATAATCAGTTAAATTATTTCCAATCTTATTTTATAAATAAAACTATATTTATTTAGTTAATTTTCTTAATCATAAATTACCGTATATAACATAATAACTGTCAAGAATTGTGTTAGACTATAAGCCACCATATATTTAACAACACCAAACGAAGTGACCAAAGCTATAGAATTTAATAATGAATATGAGAAAATCAAAAAACAAAAACAATAATAAATTTTTACCTGCACGTCCTTCTCTAAAAGAAAAAGAACAAAAAGCAATGTTTTATAATAAATCTTTAAACTATGAAACACATGGGACATTTTGTCGTTTTGACATGAAATCTATTATTTAGATGTTCTATTTTTATCAAAAACAGAGTCGGAGTAAAGTTCAAAAAAATATCTCATCACATTTCGAGCAAATGAAGAATTTTATATTAAAATCTGATACTCTAATAAAATTAACTTTCTCGATTTTATAGAAAATCTTACATGATATTATAATATTAGGTTTTTTTTTTGTTGTTGTTTTCTGAGTTGAAAATTTACCGAACAGATAAAAATCACTTACCGAATAATGGTAGGTACACATTCAATAGTAGGAGTTCTTGATGTAAATGGACTAGCTACAGAAGCATCGGCTGTTGAAAGTGAAATCCCAGCATGAGCTGCTTTTAACGCTCCAACATCATTAGCACCATCACCACACATAGACACATAATACCTAGAAATATGATAATATGATGATAAAATCAATAGTGTAAAAGGTATCTTTTTATGACTATGTGTTTAAAAAAAATGTTATCTATGATTACTAACCAATTGTGTCAAAATAGCCAATCGGGAAATTCAAATCAAAAGAATTAATAGATTTGTATACAAATGATTGATAGTATAGTGAGTCTGATTTAATCGATAGAACGGAAGTTTCTTTGTGTTCACATTGACATGCAATGGGAGAAAAATAAAATAAAATATGGCAATATAAGATAATCTATATAACGTGCAATGAATAGAATAAGCAAGACTACATCAATTAGAAATAAATTTACTTGTAATTATTGCTCAAAAAAAAAAACGAATAAATCAGCATCTTGTATTGAATAGATTATTCTGAATCTTTCTCTTTTTCAGATCTATTCTATGCATATAATTATTTCTTTGTTATATAATTCAAATATCTATCTAAGTTCATATTTTGTCTTAGTTGAAAGTCTTCTGTATCATATGAAATAAATTCAATTAATGACGAAAAATGTGTGATTAAATTAAATTTAGGAAAGCTTTCATAACTTCAATGTATATAGATAAAGCTTCATTCATATTTTGTATTAAATATATATATAGATTTAGATGTAGTATTTTTAGAATCATAGCTATATAAAGTATATTTTCAAAAGATTTCTTTAGTCAAATTATTATTAAATATCATATTTCACACAATAAATATTTCATTTTCTAGATTTATTACTTTTGAATATTCAATTGGATCATTGTGCATACAATAACAAACCAAGAATGTTTACATATACACATAACTTTATATATCTAATTATCAATTCAATATATACAGGAAGCTTACGCCTTATAGAAGACCTTCACTCATTTACAAAATAACAGTAATTTACTTTTGAAAAATATTTAGACACGAAGTTGTTGTCATTCGTATTAATATTCTTCATATTTTTAGTCGTTTTGTTTCTGTATGAAACTCATAGAGAATTGTTTTCTATCAGTTTTCATATTATTCATAATATGACATTTGATATTGATATATATATATATATTCATATATATAGATAGATATACATTTTAGTGTATGAAAATGATGCATATATCAAGATCTGCATGTCATACTTATTTTCTTTTGGAGTAATATAATATTTTCTTTTAATTAAGATTAAGTTATTTATTATCCACAAGTATATAATAGTGCTGTCTAATTAAGAAGAAAAAAAAAAGAATGAATACTTGAGAAAAAAAAAAGAAACAAACACATTAATAAGAATAATTGAGTTTATCCTAGTCTCGCATTTATTATAGAAATAATATTATTGCTTTATAACAGCTACAGATATAGGTTAGTCTATTTTCTAATATATATATTTTTCTTTCTTTGATATGGATACACATTCCAATTATTTATTATATTTCATACTGAGAATTGTCAAGCGAAGATTACATAATTAAATCAAATCATTATCATTCCATGAAGATTTGATAAGATTTAAATGACTAAAAATAAAATTTTTTTCTTTTCTGTAAATAATAAACAAGAAGATAGTCTTTCTGACACATTGTTCAGAACCTTACATAATTCAATAATGATTACTTTATCATATTGAACGATCATATAAGTAGTTTAATTATAAAAGTCACAATATAACGATGACAGATTTTTTTTTTTTTTATACATGATTATGATTGAGAAATATTACTTATTTCCAAAAAGAAATTACATAAGCAAATGATAATTTTGACAGAAAAAAGTTATTTTATTTTGTTATAATGTTTTTGTTCTTTTTTTTTTTTTTATTTCTATTCATTTAGGTTCAATTGTTTTATTTAAATATGATGTCCAATACTAGAAATTCATCATCAACCATACATCATTTTATTCTTGTAAGCTTTCCTTCTTGTTGTTTTTCTTGTCAAGTATTTGTCACGAAAATTATAATTATAATGTCGATAGTAGACAACAAAAAGAAGATAAAGAATAATATTTACAAACTAATAATAAATATTATTTAGAAATAAACTAATTTTTTTAAATGAAGTAAAACTTCTACTTATGAAAATTTTGCAAGAATACAAAAACTTTTTTGATTATAAAATACTTTCAAATCCAATCGTGTATGGTCTCTTTTTGTCTCCTAAAAATATGTACTGATAATAAGAGCATCTTTCTATTCGAAATATGAAGAATCTTTTATGATTCTATCAATTTAAATATCAGCACAATCTTTTTCGTTCTATGTTATAAACTAAAATAGAGTGTAGCATCTACATAGTGAAAATATAGTTTTATAATAGATATTCGAAAGTTATACAGTATAAATCCTTTCCTCATTTTGTTTTTGTGAAAATCTCAAGAGATTGTTTTCTGTATAATAAAATTTAAAAAGATTATAAAATCAGTAATTAGCTTATCAAATAAAAAAAAAACGAAGATTTTCAGTGTTCTAAACTAATTATTTATAATCTGTCATAAATTACTTATTAAACCATATATATTGTTTGTTGAAACACTATGTTAACACAAAAAAAAAACAATGAATATAGAAATTCTTTATTAGATATTTATATGATGAAAAAAAAAACACAAATCTAAAAAAAATTTTCTTTGACATTGTATTAGTAGTAATAAGATGAAAATATACTAAATACAAAATAGACGCAATTCTGGACTATCGAGCGAGCGAATAGAGTAAGTGAAAGGCGATGAAGGAGAAAAAAAAACAGCGGCAAGAAACGAGAAGTTCCTCGTCTCTGTTATTATCAGTCGTCAAAATGAAGAAGAAAAAATAGAGACAAGGAGGAGAAGATGAGATGATGTATGTAGGCGCCGTCTTCAATCAATGTTCGATCGAATATATACTATGAAATCTTTATCATCGTCATCATAACTTTTGCTCAAAAAAGCAGAAAAAACACTTTGTTTCTTATATTTTCTTTTCTAAATCAAAACAAAACAAAATAAATCTATCAAAATATTTCAATTCTTCTAGAATTTTGATTGTTCAAGTATTTATTTATCATGTTTATAGTTTTTTAAATTATATTAAGGGAACTTCTAATCCGTTAACAACTGCTATTTGGATAATTAATGAACGAAATTCAACACCAGTAAATATTGATGTTTATCAATCAATTGTTCGAATAATGTGGTATCGTTTCCTATTAATCATTAGTAAGTATACTTCATTCATATTATCTTTTTTTTTTGTTGTTGTTGTCAATAATATATAAAATATTGAAAGAAACAAAGAAAAAAATTCTTCCGGAAAGATGATGTTTACGTTCTTATTTAATCGAGTTATCAAGCGACAAGCTGACATGATTGTATGTCGAGTATACTTTATAAAAATACGGAAATACATGTATTTAAACACGGCGAATATGAAAAAAAAAGCGATGTCATTATCAAGAAGATTTGTTTTACTTTTTTTCTTTTTTTCTATTGTAGTTATTTTTGTGACTGCTGCTGGCAATATTTTAGTTTGTTTGGCTATAGCACGAGAACGAAAGTTACAAAATACAACTAATTATTTTCTTATGTCATTAGCTATTGCAGATTGTCTTGTTGCTATACTTGTCATGCCGATGGGAATGATTGCAGAAGTATTAGGTACATTTTTTCAACAAATATTCAAAACATCAACAGAAATTTTCCATATGTTATTTATATTTTCTTTAGGCCATTTTCCATTACCACATTATGCCTGTATTATTTTCGCAACAATGGATGTATTATGTTGTACATCATCTATATGGCATATGAGTACAATGTCAATGGATCGTTATTTTACAATTCGTTTTCCTTTTCGCTATGGAAGAAATAAAACTCGTCGTATCATGTTACTTAAAATTATTGCTGTTTGGGCAATAAGCACAGCTGTATCATCTCCAATATTCGTTTTAGGTATTGTTGATAAACAAAATGTTTTATCAAATGGTGTATGTGCACCTAATAATGCATCATTTAAATTATATGGTTCAGTTTTTGCTTTTTATATTCCATTTATAATAATGATAACAACATATGCATTAACAATGCGTTCTTTAAGAAATGTTTTAGTTCATAAAAGAAAATATAATCGTGAAAGACGTCGCAAACAAACATTTCAACCATTAGCACAACTTGTTAATCAATATGCTACAATAGCACAAAATATTCGACGTACACCATCAACAAATAATTCAATAACAAATACAAATATTAATAATAATAATAATTCTCCTTTAATTAATACATCTTATGCATTACTAACAACTATATCACCAAGACATTCACGTACACAAAGTCTTCTATCAAGTAATTCAGATTTAAATTTAAAACAAGTTTCAAATAATATTCAATATAGTTCAATAAATATGACAAATAGAACAAATATAAATAATGATTTTATTCATCATAATAATCAACATTTAACTATTAATTATACGAAACCAAGTGGAAGTAAAAAAAGACATTATTATTATCGTCATCAACATCAACAACCATGTACAATAAATACAGGAATAAATCGTACAAAAAATGAACATGATATGAGTACCGTTTTTGAAATAACTGAATGTTCAAAAGGAACATCAGGTTCATATGATTCTACATTGAAAACAGGTAATCATATGCGTCAAAGATCAAACGTTACTAATAAACAAAAACAAAAACAACAGCAAGCATTAAAAATGATAGACAGTATAGAACAACAACAACAACAAATGCCAAATACAACAACGATAACATCAACTGTTAGTACTGTATCACCACCCGAAGCAGATATTTGTTCAACGACAGATATTGATAGTGGACGTAAGTTTTATACATAAAATCATTGAGAATTACTTTCTTTATTTTTAAATTTAATATAACATTAGAAAAAAGAACAAAAGAAAAGTTAACTTAAAAGAAACAAATTATCTTCAAAGATTAATTAAGAACACATGATAAAATATTATATAAATAACTAGATATATAATCTCTATTAAATAGATTTTATTTTTGGAAAGATATTATCTCATTGAAATAAGAAAAAATGATTCTTATTATCATTTTTATTCTTTTGTTGTGATTGTAGGAAACTTATAGATTAGAAAGTTATAAACATTAATTATTCATTGTAGTACGAGTAAATATTAAATTATTTATTAAATAATATTGTTCTTTTATCAATAAAATCATAAATCAAAAAAAAAATTCTGTTACATAAATTTTTACTATTTTTCTTTTTTGCATGATTTCTAATTCAAATTTAAAATAAAACAGTTAAGAGGTTTTATAGTAAAATATTATAATATTCTTATATAATAAATCTTAAAAATCGTTGAAGATAGTTTTTATTTAAAAAAAAAAATTTCCAAACATTATTAATCATGACTTTTGAAAAAGTTCTCAATTAGATTATATCCTATTCTGAGTAAATATATCCTGGATTTTATATTAATAATTAAAAAGAATAAGAATATTTTATACTTATTTTAGCTGAAACAAAGGAATTAAATTCTACTGAAATAATTCCTTCAACAACATCTATTCATTCAACTTTACTTAATCCTACAGAATCTAAATCTTTAATAATTCCATGGCAAGATTATTTTACTATAATTCAATATATTCTACAATATTATCTATTTATTCATCCTTATCGATCACGTCCTTTAGCAATTAAATATAAATTAAATGAAAATGAATTTAATAAAAGATCATCTATAGTACATCAATCAACATCAACATCATCAGTAAATTTAATAGTAAGAAAAAATTCTCAATCGGTGTCTACACAAACAAATTCTCTTCTACGATTAGATTTATCTAATAGTCATAGAATTAATAATAGTGAAACAAATTTAGATAATCCTATTAAACGATATAAATTTTCATTTAATCGATCAATATTACCTTCATCATCTTTATTTACAAAATTTTTTCGTCAATCATCAATAACATTATTACGTTCACGTACACATTCAACTAAATCATCAATATCATTAAGTCAACTTGCACCTGTAACATCATTATCATATTCAATACGTCAACAACAACAATATCCATATCATCATTGTTCATCAAATGTTTTTCGTCCAATTGAATATGAAATGAATCATATTTTAGATAATGATCATCGTCCTCGTGCAGCATCATCTTCTGTTCTATTACATACAACATATCATCGAAAAAATCATACATCTTTATATGGACCTAGATCATTACAACGTCAACAACAATATCAATCTGGTTCAGGTTATTCTTTAAAATATTCAAATCCACATACTTTACGACGACAACAACAACCATTTACTTCATCAACAAATACAAATTCAACTGATTCATTATCAGTTTTTCAACGATTAAATTCGAAATATTTTTCAACAATATCAAATCAACAACAACAACAACAACAAACTTATTCACAACGTTTACGTGATGAACATATTGTTGCAGCTAATGAACGAAAAGCTTTAAAAGTTTTATTAATTATATTTTGTGTATTTGTTACATTATGGACACCATTTTTTATTTGTACATTTATATCAGCTATATCTGAACAATGTCGTGAACGTATATCATCAACTGTTTGGTTTTCAATAACATGGCTTGGTTATAGTTCATCTATGGCTAATCCATTTATTTATACAATATTTAGTGATGCATTTCGACGTGCATTTACAAATATTATTTTTTGTCGACCAAGTGATTCATCATTTTCAAAACAATTTTCAACTAAATTATCATATCAAAAAAGTGCCGTACCACATCAACCAATTCATCAACAATTATCATATAGACGAAATTTAAATTATGAATATTCAAGAACATCAACACCAATATCATTACATCCTCAAACATCAATTGGTGGAAGTGATGCAACAATATATATTAATCGATGTATATCAAATTCATTACGATAATTGAATAAAAGTAAAAGAAAAAAAAAAAAAAAAAACGAAATCTAACTCATCTTTCTTTTGTTATCATTAACTTACCCAAGTTCTTGCAATGTTTCAATTAATTGTTGTTTTTGTTCGGGTAACATACGTGCAAAAACTGTACCACGTACACATAACTAATTATAATAATATCAAAAAATAAAAATGAAAATATGATTCATTTTTTAAACATTTTACTCGATGTAATAATTCTGGATGATCGTCACGAACAATTTGAAATGATTTACCAGATATAGCAAAATGATATGGTGAACGACGATCAAGTTCAATTAATCGATGAGACTAAATTTATTATTTTAAAAACGAATTAGGATTTGTATTTTTTTGTTTTGGAATTTTTAATATTAAAATTAAGTTTTTTTTTGAAATCTGTACAAAAAAAAAACAAATTAACCTTTTTTCTTTTGATATTGGTATTTAATACGAAAAATTAAAAATTTGATTTTCCATACATTATGTTCTTTTCGAATTAATCAAATTGAATAAAAATCCAGTGAAAGATTTTTTTTTTTAATGAAATTCTTTTTCGTTTTCTAGAACTACCTAATTTTTAATTATGAAAAATATTTATTATTTCGGCTATTACTAAAACTAAAATTAAAGAACAAGTGACAAAAGAAAATACTTGTTAATATGTTTATTAAATAATATTAATTTCTTTTTGTCATATACATATTATTTTTTCTTATCAACAGGATTAACTAGAATGTCTTTATTTGACAAGAAAAGAAAAAGTTATTTCATATGTATTTCCTAAAGATATTTATTATTTATTCTTAAATAAATCATAGAAAACAAAAAAAAAATAAAATGCAAACTGAATTAAAATCTATCTTAGTAATAGAAGATCTTCCTTGAAAAAATAACCCAACAGATATGATAGAATATGTCTCGTGATTAATTAATCTCTCGCAGTATTGCAAATTTAATTTGTATATTTACATTAAAACATGTCTAGTTTTCAGTTGGCATCCATCAACTCCTAGAACATCATGTTAAACATGACATCTGTTTTCCTTATTAAGAATGTGCTTCCTATGGATTGTTTATATTAACCGTAATCTTTTTTTTTTGCTCTATCCGAAGCTGTAGCCGACATACATGAAATAGCAAGCAAAAGTTTCGACATTAGTCAGAAGTTCACATTTTTTTTTTTCAGTCAATATCAACTGATTTTGAGACTTGTATTTTGCATTAGATAAAATCTAAGAATAGATTCGGAAAGACCATTCAAAAGCAATCACAGCTAATATGGAAAAATCGCTCGGGGTTAAGTAATTCTTGTCAAGTCCTTGAATTTCTAATTGAAATTTAGAACATTTCTAGTATTGAGAATTATCAAACTACGAGCGATTCTTCATATCAGTTTTAAACGCTCTATGCGAATCTATTCTTAGGTTGCAACTAATGCAAAGTTTTGACTGATTTCGAAATCTTTGTTTTCAATTTCATATATTTGGACTCAACGTCTCTGCTCAATAGAAGATCCTGAGTCTCCTATTATATTCAAGTGTACAAAGTTTTCACGGGATCTTCTATTGTGTCCCATTTATCTATATAATTTTTAATTAAAAAGAATTTTCAAAAAGACAAATCGATTTTGAGAATTTTGGAAAATAGTTTTTATACTTTAGAAGTCTAGAAATAATGCTGATCTCAGTCTTTTAAAACTTTCAGCTCAAAAACCTTGAGAACTAGGCATATCTTGATATAATTATACTAATTAAAATGTCAGTTTTTTGAGTAATCAATTAAGGGGGAGGTCTTTTATCAGATCCAGTACATCATTTCAACAAGGGAATTTTCTATTGTGGGATGGAGGATTACAGCTTTGGATAGAACAAAAAAACCTGATTATGATTAATATAAACAAGTCACAGGAACTACATTCTTAGTAAGAACAAAAATGTCGTCTTGACATCATGGTCTAGGCATTGGTGTATTCCTAGTTTCGAGTTTAAAAAAAATTTTAAAATACTAAGGTCAACATTTTTTCTAGACTTTTAAAACCCTAAAAATTTTTAATCGAATCTTCAAAAGTGTATTTGTTTTTTTTTTTGAAAAACTCTTTTAATTAAAAATCATGAAAATAAATAAGACACAATAAAATATTTTCCTAAAAAACTTGTACATTTGGACATAAAAGAAGACTCGAAATCTTCTATTGCAAGAACGGAATTTATGACATTTTTCTATTCGACTGTTTTTTAAAAAGTTTCTTTTTTTCTAATATTTACTAAAAAAAAAAAATGTATAAATAATAACATATACATACATTAAGATCATAACGAACTTCTTTGACTCTTCTATTATAAACTTGAGCATAAGAAAATATTGGCATACGATTTGATTCAGTGGCTTCAATAACAATTATTTTAGCATCATCAGGGATCATGTCACAATCACGAGCAACACTCAATGCTGTTAACATATTATCACCTATATTAAATGAATATCATAAAGAAAAATTTATTATTAGAAAGAGAATGATTAAATATACCAGTACACATTATTGTTCGAATATTAGCATTTGAAAGAACTTTTAAAATTCCTAAATGAATTATTTTTTCAAAAAAGAAAATTAATTATTATTTATTTTTTATCTACCTTCTGTTTGTGGTTTGAGACGATTTTCCATAACCACAAGACCAAGAAAGATAAGATCATGTTCAATTTTTTCTCTATTTTTATTTAAATCAATAAATCATTTAGTATAAGTTTATTATTATTATTATATAATAGCCATTCCATATAAGCCACGACCTAACACCATTGCAGGATACTCAATCAGGTCCTTGGATTTGTATGAAATCTCTTCCATCTTGTTGAACATACTGTTTCAGGTATAGAATTAAATTTTTAGCCTTATCAAAGATCGCTTTACCGAGATACTAGGATCTTTCGAACATTTTTTCATTGAAATAGAATGACAATAGAAAAACTACCTCTTCAACAGACGTTTTCATAAAATACTAGTATGAAATCACTCAAACTTTCTTTTCGAAATGTTAAGAAATTAAGGACTGTTTTAATGATGCAAGCACGAAAGTTTGGGATGTCTGCTGATTAAACAGAAAACTTGTCGTGGCACATGTGGAGTGGCTCATTCGTAACTAACCGTTCAATTCTTTGAATTTTAACATAACTTAATTCTAATGGTTTATAAGCAAGTGCTAATACTCGATAACCTTGTTTAGCATATGATGAAAGTATTTCATTAAAATTTCTTGGAACTATTAAAATATATATATTTTTTAAAAAATATAAATCATATCTAATATAAATTATAAATATTTTAACTCACTTGTTTCAGGTCTTGAAAGTTCAGCTATTTTTTCTGGTGAACCTTTTGTTAATAAATCAAATGAATCTTTTGCAAGAATTCGAACAATAACACTTGTTCGTTGAAGTGATGAACTAAATGGTAATTGTCGAACAATACCAATTTCAAATGGAATATTCTAATGAAAAAACTTTCATAAAAATAAAACAATTATTATTTTTTATATTAACTTACTCCAGCAATAAGTGAACTAACAGAACCTGAAAGATGACCTAATGATGATGTTATACGTTGATTAGGTATATTTATTGGTCGTACAATTGTTGGAAAAAGCATATCAAAATTAGCTTGTTCATTTGCAGCTGGTTCATATAATTCATATTGTGTAAATGCAAGCATTTTAAGATCAAGTGGATCACCAGCAAGTTCACCATTTATTCTTGTTAATGTATGACATGCTAAAATTATTTAATATGATTTATTATTCAATATTTTTTTGATTTTTAATTCTTACCTGCCATACAAACAATAATCATACTATGAGCTTCATCATCACGCCAATTTAAATCTGTTACTTCAGTTGTTTCAGAACCAAATTTAATTTGTTGTATATCATTTATTGTATCATATGAACGAACAATTGGTAAAACACATTGAAGATCAAGTCCATCTTCAGTCAACGTCCCTGTCTGATTAAATATAAAAAAATATATTTTAATATAGAAAAAAAAACCTATTGTTTTTTTTTGTTAATAAAATAGGAAACAAACTTTATCAAATACAACAGTATTAATTGAACCACATATATTAATAGAACGAGGACTAATACAAAAAATATTATCTTTTTTTAAACGATTTTGTGCATAAACAAGACCAGCAGATAGAGCAGCAGGAAGTGCAGGTGGTACAGCAATTGTAATAACATCAATAGTACGTTTAAAAACGGTAGCAGCACGTTCATGACGCATTATCTAATTAAAATAAATAAAAATTTTTAATCTTCTCAAGTATAGATATATATTTATTAAACTAATAAAACACATAATAATAAAACTATCTTACCCGTAATATCAATGAATAGATCATTCCACCCAAGGCAATTAATGCCATACCACCTACATATTTATATGTATCCGTATTAAATTTAAAATCAACCGGTTTTGGATAAAGTATTGATCGAACAAGTTCACCTTTAGCTGTACTAAATGCTAAAATATTCATTCAAAGATTAAATTATAATCTTATGTACAAAAAATAGATTTTACCTGTTCGAAGAACTACAGCTCGTACATCACCAGCACCATAATAACGTGTTTGAATAACATTTGTGCCACTAAATAATATAAATCGATTATGATCATGAATATCAAATGTTTGATTAAGTGCAGGATGATCTGATGATGATTGATAATAAGGTATTTGAACTTTTGTTACAGGAATACTTTCACCTGTTAACATTGATTCATTTACAATAACATTTCCATTTAATAAAGCAGCATCACATTGCATTATCGTTGAACTACGTATTATAATTACATCACCTGGTACAAGATCTTCACTAATTATATCACGTTGTTCTTCTAAAACACAAACAAAGTAAATAAATCATATTAAAACAAAACAGGAAAACTATTTAAAACCTTCGACACATTAGAAGATCTTCTTTGAATAAATAAAGCAGAAGACATTTTAGAAGATTTCATCTGAGAATTGATTTTTTTTTAGTACTTATTTATATACATAATAATATCTACGTCTAATATTGCGTGTCAGTTCCGAGTTTACAAAAATTTTGAAAAACACCACTAATAGAACACAATACTCTATTTAAGAATACGTTTTGTTATTGAAAATATATCGTGAAGTTACTTCAGCGTTCTTTTACAGCACAATCTGAAAAAAGTACTTTAGGTGTTCTATACGAAAGAAGAAACGGTTCCATGATCATAGAGCCTAATTGACACAGTGTACATTCACATGGGTCACACATGAAGAGATCTTTCTAAAATAGGAATATGCTTAGTAAAACTCTGTTGTGTATGAATTAAAAGGCTTCTTCGCTTGTGCACTTTCTTCTAGAAATATAGAAACGTTTTTATTACAAAGTAGGATATCCATAATTGAAGAAAATATATCTTCAGGTATACATGTCGAGATTTGTTCTATGAAGAATTTATTCTAAGCTTGAGAACATATTTCTTTTCGTAAAAAATTCTAAAGGCATTTGTCTAAACACACACAAAACATACTAACTCAACTCCTATTTTTCTTTAAACTGTTTCTTTACAAATCATCATACGTATTGTAGTTAGTTTGAGACTAATAACTATGCTAATAGTACATTTCATTGTGAACGAATTCCTTTTATACTATTTAAAACCTTAACATAAGCAACTAACTTAAATAAGTTTGACAAAAAAACAAATTTATTTTTCTTTTCCTCAGTTATTTAACTATTGAGGAGATTATATGTTGCCAGTGACAGATCTTATTCTTTAAAAAAACTAAGAGTACTATTAAACATTGTATTAAGATGTTAGGGTATGTTGACTGTATTGTTCAAAGAACACTCTTCTAACCACGATTATTTTCATGTTTTTGTCACAGGATATTATCTGTTCCTTTTTCATTCGATGCGTATGGGATAGATGAAATAAGCTCGTTTACTAACGATGTACTGAGCAAGAAAATGAATTGAAAATAAGAACTATCGGTAAGACTACCAAAAACTATGATTTAATAGAAGATTACCCCTGTAACTTGTGAACAATAACACAGAATAGAAGATCGGAAGTCTTCTAATGTGTCGAGAACTTTATTAACATATACCTTCATTTGTTTCAGGATTATATATTAGAACTGTTGTTACTTGTGATTGATGAACTGTGTCACGTAAAGCTCGTTCATTCTACAAATAAATAAAAAAAACAAACAAACATTTTATAAATCGTTGGAAAATATTTTTCTGATAAGAAAGATAAATACTTTTCGAACTTCATATAATGTGACAATAACTGAAATAATAGTAATGAAAACGATACATGATGCATAAGCAACATATTCATCAGCAAACCAAGAGATACATGAAAATAATTGAAAAATATAAAATGGTGATAGAACCTTTAATGAAAGAAAGACAAAAAAAATATAAAATCATTAAATATTTAATTTAAAATATAAAATTTTACTTCTTTTATAAGTAACTTTAAGATAGGAGTAAGACGTAGACTAATGCTATTTTCACCAAAAATGATTTTTCTAATACAAATAAAAAACAAAATTTTTGAAAACATTATCAATCAACTTTTATATTAATTACTTTTGTGCACGTTGTTCAATTGTTAATGGACGAATCTGACGAAAATATTCACATTTGACATTATGCTCAACACCTCTATTAAGAAAACAAATAAGAATAAATTAATTGATTTCAATACCTTTTGAACTTACAGAAGTTTTACAAATTTATATTCAGTTTCTTCCCAAACATAACGCCATCGTTTATTAATAAAATATCGATGAATATCCCTCTAAAACATAACAAAAATTTTGATAACAAAAAACCAAATAGATTGATAATTTTATTGATTGTTATATTCGTTTAATGTAACATTAATATGATCATCATCATATCACATTACTAAACTATTATTATTATTATTATTATTGAAAAAAATATTATAGTTTCTCTGTTTTTTACAAATACTCAACATCAGTCAAATCACCTTAATTTTTTTTGTCTTTAATAAATATTCTAAATCAAATGCATACACCAGTCATTAATCGTCAAGTATGTTTGTAAAAATAGCATTCATTTTAATTTATATTAAAAAAATTATATTGAATAGATATCAATTACATTATAAATAATACCTATCGAATTAAATTAGATGTCATCTCGATAATATTAATCAGTAAATATTTGTTTTAAACAAATAATAATATTATTCTAATAAATAATTGTTTTGAAAAAAAAAGCGTGTATTAGATTGCAGACATTCTGGAAGAGGAAATATTGATGTGATAGGATAGAAAAAAACATAATTATTATTAATATTATAACGTATATTAATGTTAAAAATATTGATGAAAATAAAAAAACTAGTATAGCTATGATAGAGATAATTATTTTTAGTGTGTTATATCTCGGTGCATTTTATATTATTATTAACTATTACGTTTTCAGATTCATCTGAAATCATTTCTTGAAAAGCACCATTTTGATAACACCATCTCTGAAAAAAAACAGTATACATAAAGAAGACAAGCATACAATACAGTTTTAATCATGCACTAAAGACGAATATTTATATACAAAGATTATGTCACCACAGGCACACAAAATGTGTACACCTACCGACCGTCGCCATTCTTTCTGGTTTGGCAGCGTACTAGAGCTGTTCGTGAGAAAAGGTTCACCTGTAGACTAAATACTTTTGTTTATTATTTATTATAATTTTCTTTTTAAATCAATATATTATCTCAATAACACCATGAAAATTTATCGTTATCTTTCTACTTACATCATCTGCTTGTTGTTGTTGTTCAGAAAAACTATCATGTCTTGAGGGATTTATTGGAATAGAATTGCTTGAGACAAAAAGAAAGATTAAAAAAAATAGGAAGAAGAATATAAAGGTCATTATAAACATGAAACTAATATACCGAAAAGAGTTTGAATCATTTGGATTCGGATTAGTACTAATTTTGAGCACAGTTTCTACATACCATTGTTTATATCGATCCTAAAATTCCATAGAAAAGATAAAAAACAACTTTTTGAAAGAATATTATCAAAAATTTTTTCTATACTTTCAGAAGAACATATTGACAAACAGCTAAATCAGCTCGAACACAACAACATTGAAGAAACCAATGAGGCTTCCAATAGAATATTAGACGAAGAAACCCCACAGTTAAAATAATAAATATCCATGTAATAATTGTTCGTGTTACCGATCGAGAATATCCATATAAAATCTAATAGAAATAAATATTATTAAATTATAATTGAAATATATTTTTTTTTTCACACACAAATTGATCGTCTGTTCCATCATTAACTATTTGATATGAACGAATACCACCTCGTTGAAGCATCGAATTTGATGAACCAATCTGAAAATGAGATTTAATTGAATATAATTATAAGGAGATAAAATTAATACTTGTTTAAGTTCAAATAATTTGCCGTCATATTGACAATTAGTCATGAATATCGACGTATTTTATTTTCAATTAAAATATTTCACCTTCACCAGTCTTGTCTCTAATAATATTATAAATGAGGAGACATGTTTCAGTCTTGTCGTAATCAATAATAAATAAAAATCCTTTTGTTTCTATTCTTTTATGATGGGAGCTAACTTATGATTTAGTTTTTTTCGTATTTTTAACATTTAATAAGGATTTATCTTGAAAAGTTAAATCAATAAAAAAAACAACCAAAAATTTTTCATATAACCCAATACACTTTTTATCAACCTTTTTTTTACTGGTGTTTACCTAGTGAGAAATTATAACGACGATAATAAAAAAGTATAGAACACGTTTAAAAATGACGGGAGTCTCGATAATGAGTGAAGAAAAACATACATAAAATATGACGGTGCGGTTCCTTCTGATAAGAAACATTTATTTTTGCCATTTTGCATTGTACTAACGCTGAATATAAAATATTCGTAGTTTTATTTGGATTTGGTCTTTAAAATAAGAACGAAAACAAGCGGAATAGAAAGAAAAAGAAAAAATACTAAAAAACAGAAATGTATGCATAATGATAAATCAAAAAATAGAAATAATAAATAAACAATGAAAAATCTATCATATTGGATAACAAACCTACCAACGGGAAAAAGGCAAGATGTAGTTTGAATATAAACTGCTGGTCGATATCACTTTATAAAACATATGTTTGAATACGAAAACAATGTAAATATATGACATAATCAACATATGTTGAGTTATGTTTTTAGATAAAAAAAAAGCAGGAAGAACAAAAAATTAATTTTAAGAAATTATAAAAAAGAAAAACGTTTTCTTGTTTGATAATCGCTCGATAGGCAGAATCGAACTGCTACGCCGCGAAGCGTCCCTAGGTTTGAAGCCTAGCCCCGGCACCAGCCGAACTCAACCGAGCACTAACATAATTGAATAATTCCATTAAATACTGACATACTAAGATTTTAAGTATCTGCAAAGAAATGCGGTGAATTGATTGTAGACCAATCTTGTCATATAGTGACACCTGCTAATATGTCATACTTAATTTTAAAAAAAATTAAAATATAGAAAAATTCTCGAGAGTTTTTAAAAACTAAATAAGAATATTTATTTAATCTGATACTGTTGACATCTATCATAAAAATTTTATTTGATTCGATCGTTAACAAATCGTTTTACTATTATTTACTAGTTATATTTTCAATATATTTTTTATTCAATTCTAAAGTGAAAATTTTATTTCATTTGGAATGTCGGCTGATAGTAATAGTGGTAATAAATCTTTTTGGCCTGTAAAAACAGCATTAAAAGAAAAAATCATTGTACTCTACGATGCTTTATTAAGTGTATGTTCTATATTATTCGAATTATATTCTATGTACTAGTTTTTTGTTTTCCTTGAAATTCAATACTAATCTTTAGGGTGATCAACCATGGCTTGATAATGGTCATTATTGGGATGATTTTTTTCTTTTAAAAGTTAATTCCAAATATTTATTAGAAGAACTTGAACGAACTTATATTGACAAACCTGCTGTACTCAAAGTATTGATTTTCTTTTTCTGACAAAATAATTTAGTTTTAGTTGCATGTCTTTTTTGTTGATTAATAGCCTCAATTGAATACTGTTTTTGATCAATGTCTTATTTTTGTCAATTCAACACATCGTATTCGACAATTAAATGCTTATTATGTATCTATTATTGTTTATATTGAATCAAAAAATAAAGTATTACATTTTTGTTTGTTTATTGTTTAGACTATCTGTGTTTTAATATATGCAATAAGTCGAGTTAATCAACGAACTGGTTTTGGTTATCCAGCATTAGATTTTCTTTGTGGTAGTGAAGGAGTTGACAATAAATTTGAAGTAAATTTATTTATAATTCTTATATTTTATTTTTTGTTTGATTTTTGAATAGACTTTAATTGAATCAGTTAATCATACATTTCTTATTGATGAAAGTTTTTCTGGTAGTACTCTTTTAAAAAATGCTGCATTTGATGTTATTTTAACATGTTGTACAACAATGTTAAATATAAATGAAAATATGCTTATGGATTATATGATGGCAAATGTAAATCTTTTTGATTCAATTACACAATTATTAATACGTTTTCCAGCAAGTCATGGCTATGATGTTTGCCTCTTACTTGCACTTCTTTTACAATATCATAAATATGATGTAGGATAAACAAAATTTGTTGTTGTTTTTTTGCATTCAATAGGAATTAAATATTTTGTTTATGTTATAGACATCAAATACATATATTATAAGATTTTCTGTATTTGATGATGAAGTTGCTTTAACTGTAAGTAAATTAAAAATTAAATTTGTTTTTTGATTAAGATTTTTTGTTATTTTAGAGTTTGGCACAAGTTATTGGTTCATCTCTAAATGAATATAATAAGTAAATAGAGAATTATTTTCTTTGTCTATATGAAAAAAACAACATTTTGAATTTTAGAGCTTATGATATTGAACGAACGGCAAATGAATCATCATCATGGTGGAATTCTTTAACAACGTTTGTAAGTAGTATTTTCGAAGAAATAGATTAGATTAGTTATATATATTCTACTATTTGAAAAAGAGCAAATACATACGAGTATCAAACTCAAATAAAATTTTATCTTGTTTTAGTAAAATACTTAACTAATGATAATAAAATATTGAGAATATATTCTTAGGTATTTGCACTTAAAATAACAAAGTTCTAGGTAAATGGGATATGAAACGATGAGTATTAGGAATTAGTATGCAAAGCTGATGACAGAACAAGATGACATTTGCTTGTCCTAATACAGGATAGAATGCAAAACATTTACGCTTTGACTATCTCTATTATTAATTAATATAGTTAGATAGTAAATTTTCACGAGAAATTCTTTTGTATATAAAGTAGAATGTAAACAATTACTTTTTTTTCAATATACCAATTTCGTCGATGTCTGTATTCTAAGTTTCTCGAGTAATTGCTTTAGAACTATGTCCAGTAAGATTGGCACATCCTCAAGGGTGTTGTTGAGTTTCATGAAAACGGCACATCATTTAAATGTTGAACGTCTGCCAGTGGATGGATCAGTCATCTATCTTATACTATTGGAATAACACTTATCTTGATGCTGCTCGAAACT